TGTTGCTGGACAAACCTAACTTTTTTAAGCTGGATAGACGTCCCAATTCTTGTGGGATGTTTCCATGAAGACCATTGATGGACAAATCTAACAATTCCAAACTTGATAGAAGTCCCAATTCTCGTGGGATACATCCATGAAGACTGTTGCTATTTATATGCAATTCCTTCAGATTTGATATACTACCAATTGAAGGAGGAATTATACCTGTGTTTGTCAACGCACTCAAATTAATGAATTCCAAAAGTACTAAATATTGAAGTTCTGATGAGTTTCCAATTCCATATGGAATGCTTCGTGTGAAAACATTTTATAACAAAAATTAAAATATTTAAAGTTTCAAAAAGTTATTATCGAACGTTAATACTGAAATTCAAATATTGGTGGCTCTAATATATATTTTTAAACTAAGAATAATTTTATAATTACAAATGTATAAATTAATTTATAATATTAAATTATTTAGTAAACAAGGTGATGCAAGGCAAAATGAACAATATACGAGAATAAAGAATAAACCAAAATCTAGTTAACTCTTAAAATACCTGTGAATTTTGAAAATCAATAATTCCTTGATTTGCAATTGAATATTGAATAATTGATCTAGGTTGAGAAGTCGTTAATTCCGCAGAAACATTTTACGTCAAAAAATTGTAAAAGAAACACTCTCATAAATTTTATAATGTTTTAATCAAAATACTCCAAAGTACAAAGCTCATCTTTGTTGCTAACGAAGAAATGTCTAATCATCAATTTTAACTGAAATTGAATTTGGGTCCTCAAACTAACAAATAATAATAATAATAATAATGAAAAGTGCGTGATGTATTTCTAATAATTAATTGGAAAGTGCATACATGTCGAAAAACATTTGTCAAAAAGTGTAAAATGCCTATGTGGTAACCTAAATTTCATTAAGATTTCCTTCAACATTAAAATCTTTGTTATATATGAGAACTTTAAATTAATAAATATTTGTCACGACTAAATTAACAAATTGAAATATATTTAATGAGTGTTCTAAAAGGATCGTCCATGCATGAATCCGGGCCTTGACGCGTAGCAACATTTTATATTTGTAATGCCTAGCACATTTAGGCTTGTAACAGCTCAAAGTTTGGCATTAATGACTCTTCATACTTTACGTTTTTTAGAATACTGAATTTAATATATAAAACAAGTTTAAGAGATCTAGTTACGTACCATTGAAACCGTTGTGGCCAAAATCTAGATATACAAGTGCCGATAGGTTTCCAATTTCATTTGGAATATTTCCTGTCAATCAGTCCATTTAAACATATAGATTTAAAA